CAGATTGAGTTTATTAATCTGAGATATACGTCTCATATTAATATGCCTCAATCTTCTATGCCAGACCCATTGCTCATCATTAACAGACAAAAGGCATTTAACATTTTGAACCTTAAGTTCTGAAAGATTGATTTTGTAAATGTTGTTCTTCCTCTTTCCATTAAATAGGATTGAGCCATCCTTCTGACTAACAGCTTTACAATATTGTTGATTGAAGATTATGTCATAACCATTGTCACTTAATTGACTTATGGACAATAGATTATGCTTTAATCCTTCTACAAGTAAAACATTAGATATAGAGGGAAGGTTACCATTGTCAATAGTACCAGAGCCAATAATCTTGCCCTTCTGATTCCCTCCAAACTTCACTTCTCCTCCAAATTTAAGCTCCAGGCTTTGGAACATAAACCTTTCTCCCGTCATGTGACGTGAGCAGCCAGAGTCCAGGTACCATGCCTGGCGTCTTGACTTTTCTGCTAAATACATATGCAATAGGGATTATCTTATCCTTAGGTACCCAGATATTTTTGGGTCCTTTTGGGTTAGTTGCCTTGAAAGTTTGTCTGAACTTCTGTCTTTTTACAACAGTTTTGTTCTGACTGACTTTTGGCTTAAACACAGGAACGTTCTGATCAGAACGTGTGTTTGATATCATTGAGATGACCAAACTTGAAATGAGAGTATAAGGGAGTTTTCTTAATTATAAGTTTATCAACAGGCATTGGATTTAAATCCTTTCCAGAGGAAGATTCATATCCAATTCCTTTCCTGTTGTTTCTGCTAACCCCATAGATCATTGAAGCCATCTTGCTTCTATCTATGCTTTTAGCTAGAAACTTCTGAAAGCTGAAGTCATATTCTTCTAAAATGTTTTTGCATTTAGACTTAGTTTCAGACTCAGAGTCTTGTTGAGCTTTTTCAAAATTAGTTTTCATTTTTAAATTATTTTCTTTTAGCTCAGCAACTTCTGACTTTAACAAATTATTCTCAGATTCAAGATTGCATTTAAGCTTCTTGCATTTGAGCTTAATCTGGTTATAGTTTTTCAGGACTTCTGATAAGACTTTAATAAGCTCTTCCCTAGTGAGATTAGAAAGTACCTCTTCTGAGTCAGATTCAGAATCAGACTTAGATCCAGATGATCCTTCATTCTGATCTTCCACGCCTGCCATCAGAGCCATGTTGGCGCATTCATCTTCAGATTCTGATGAGGATCCAGATTCATCTGAATCATCCCATGTTGCCATTAGAACCTTCTTCTTATGCTCAGGCTTTCTTCTAGGCTTTTCTTTCTGAAGCTTTGGACATTCATTCTTGTAATGGCCAGGTTGTTTGCATTCAAAATAAACAACTTCCTTCTTTCTAGATCTTTTTGGTCCAGAGGATTCCTTGCGCTGATCTGGCTTCTTGAAGTTCTTGAACTTCCTCTGTTTGTGCTTCCAGAGTCTGTTGATTCTTTTGGACAGCAAGGACAGTTCATCTTCTTCTTCAGAAGAAGACTCTTCAGAACTCTCTTCTAACACCTGCAATGCTTTCACAGATTTGTTAGATTTTAAGGCAATTGACTTACCTTTCTTTTGAGGCTTATCTTCCTCAAGTTCAATTTCATGGCTCCTCAGTGAGCTGATTAGCTCCTCCAAAGTGATCTTGTTCAGATCCTTAGCAAGCTTCAGAGTAGTGACCATAGGTCTCCATCTGATAGGCAAGCTTCTGATGATCTTCTTCACATGATCAGCAGTTGGGTAGCCTTTGTCCAAAACTTTTAGACCAGCTGTGAGGATCTGTAATCTAGAGAACATAGTTTCTATAGACTCAGATTCTTCCATTTTGAACGCTTCATACTTCTGTATTAGCGCCAGAGCCTTGGTCTCTTTAACTTGAAGGTTTCCTTCATGTGTTATCTTCAAAGACTCAAACAAGTCAAATGCAGTTTCTCTATTTGTGATCTTTTCATACTCAGTATGAGATATTGCATTTAACAAGATTGTTCTAGCTTTGTGATGATTTCTGAACTCCTTCTTTTGGGCTTCAGTCATTGATTTTCTATCAATTTTCTGGCCATCCCCATCAGTGGGATGAACATACCCATCAATGACTAAGTCCCATAAATCAGCATCATAACCAAGGAAGAAACTTTCTATTCTGTCCTTCCAATAATCAAATTTCTCCCTATCAAACATAGGGGGGTTTGTGCTGATTCTTTCTCTTTCTTCATATCTGTTGTTGCTGTTAGATGTTGAAGTTTTAGCCATAATAACAACCAAATATATATCAAAGTTTTCTCACTGGATCTTTTCTGTCACGGCGAAGTGGTAGCACACACAGAACCGGAGCTCTGATGCCAACTGAAGGTGAGAAAATACTTAGAAGGGGAGGGGGGTTGAATAAGTATAGAGAAAATATTATGGCAATAAAAACTCAAAGATTTTTATCCTGGTTCGTTGAACTTAACTACTCCAGTCCACCCTATCAAGAGTGATTTGCCTTTCTCAACAAGGACTTAATCCACTATTAATCAAACTGATTACAATACCAAGCACTAAGAACAACTGTTCTTAGTCTTCTTAAGAACAACTGATCACAACTGGATATTCTTAAGGACTTTTACAATCAAATATAAAACTAAACAAGTGTTTTAAATGCTTCTAAGTAAGCTATATCACAATTGTGATTTTACACTTAAGTTTATGAACAATGAAATAAATTCAGCAATGAGAATAAATTGTATGAGAGCTTTCTTTGAATTTTTTCAATATTTCGTCAACTGAAGAAGAGAGATGGAGTCTTGCTTTTATAGGCACAGAAGTCCAAGTTGTTTTCACGTTGAAGGCTGTGTACTGAAAAGGGCTGAGCCTTTTTGTCTTCACATCTCATGACCTTTCCTAGAAGTAGAATGCACAGATAAATCCTTTTTGTTTGTGTTCTGGTGTCTAGCATAAATGAGGAAAGAGTCGTTTGGCCAAACCAACGGACATAACTTTGAATTCTTCTTCAACAAGTTTCAGCAGATAACATCAGAGCCTTGAGTGATCAGAGTCTTTGATGTTCATCAGAGTTTGCTGAATCAGAGCATTGCAGCAAGTGTGCTTTCAGCGTGTAATATCATTAGAGCAGAGTTTTAGGATCAGATCCTCAGTACTGACAGCGTAGTACTATCAGAGTCTTCTGAAATAAACTAAGCTTGAAACTCTTCATACAAAAGCCTTCAATGCTTCAGATTCTTCTGTAGCTTCTACTTCAGAATCTTCTGTAGACAGCGCTCAGAATCTTCTGTAGGCAGCGTTCAGATTCTTCTAGGAGATGCTTCTGACGCTTCAGAGCTTTGCATAAATCCATATTCAGATCTAATTTGCTTTCAGAATAATATTCACTTTAATATCTGCAGCAAACATACTTGAACAAATTTTAGAGTATATAATTCTTTAATAGAAAATTTTGTAAGAGTTATTATCAAAACATAGAGATATAATTAAGAACCAATATGTGTTCTAACATGTAGCTCTTAGGTTGCATTGGTCTAGTTTAGATGACTAAACGTATTCTTTCATATGAGGACGGTTTGTAGAGATAAGATTTCGGATGAATCTGGTAACACTTCTTTGTCTTTTGAAGATGTTGTACGGACTTAATAGAGGAGGTATTGTTTCAGAAATTTAAGCATCTTCTGAAACATGAGAGTACTCAATAATGTTTTCTATTTTATGAGAATTAGTCTTTTTACAAAGTTTAGGAAGCGATAAAGAAGAAGTAGTAATAGGTTGAGTGTTTGGTTCAGGTGTTTCCATGTTTAAGTGATTTTCTCCCTTACTCACTCTCTTTATTATATTCATACCATATGCACCCCTTCTTTCTGTATAGGCTCTGATACCACACTGTCAGAAAATCTTACATATCATGAAACCCAGCCTTATAGAAGATGTGATATTATCATATTTCTTTTGCTTTTTCGATAATACTTTTTACATTTTTAAAAGATATCATAACAAATTAACTATATCGATAATATCTTATGATAAATCAGAATATATGTTTTTTAATTAAACTAACTTTCTTTTTAAATAAAAGTTTACTTCATCTTCTTAGCTTAAGACTTAATTCATGTTAAATGGTTTGAAGATCACATTGAAGATTGAGTATGAGAAAATTCTGATTCAATCGAATTCAATAATAACAAACTCCTTGATTTTTAACCTATTGGTGGAAGGGAACTTTTTGTCAAATGATTATTTTTCATATTAGTGATTTCATAAAATTAAGTAAGAATTTTCGTCTTATTCTTGAGTTGATTCTCTACCATTTATTAGTAATTTGGTTCATAAAGATTACAAAAGAATCTTATTTGCACACACACGCATATTTATATAGGAATGAAGAAAATATAGCAAAAATAACTAACTCTTAATAAACTACCATAAACAAGTTTTAACTCATAATTAACAATGTATTGGTAGCATTAACAAAACTTGATATCAAAACTATATTTAAATCCAAAAGAATTACACACCAGAAGTGGTATAACTCAAAACAATTTGCTGTCCCACCTCCCCAATAGCTTAGCTGGATTTTGGACGCATCATATTATAACAAATCCGTGAACACTGACACCAAAACAACTTCCCACATTTCACATTAAAAATATAAACGACAATATTCTGACACCCACAACCCCTTTCTCCACATTCATCAATCATTTCAATGTCCACATTCAATACCCTCTTTAAAAGTATATAAAAAAATCGTTTATTACACTAATGTACTTTCAAAAAATAATTTATTTACAAAAAAATGTCTATCATATTCATCTCCAGCAAATCAAATCCCGCCACGTCAGCAATATCCTATATCTTTTCTATAACACCGTGGGTCCCCACCATCCGAATTCATTCTGCGCATTACTCCAATGCCAACTAAATTTGTAGCTGTCATCCATAATTATAGTTGCAAATGCCAACGCATCCAACTTTTGAACCAATCGAATTCATCCACGTGTCACTACTTTATTGGGCAGAAACCATGGACCTACCAAGCTTCTGACTCAGACTTAATAATACCTGCCACGTGGCATCACCTTCTTGGATTTCACTGTTAAAAAGTAGGGCCTGTCTCGTCTTCGGGTCCCACAGATTCCTCTGAATTAAAGTAAGATTCGTGGCCGCCACGCGCTCGAGAATCTTATCCAACTTTCCGACGTCTTTCTCCGCCACCGTTAGCGATATCTCCGCCCATTTCACGGCGGAGGAAAACGGTAAACGGATTCCGTCTGCAATAATTACCGGTACACAACCCAATGCAACTGATTCAACCAGCCTTGGACTCCATGGGGCCCATCCAAGTGGACATAGACAGAACACTGAACGTGCTATTTCCATTTGGTAACCGGCAAATCTATGCCGTTGAAGATAAAATCTCCGATCAGCATTAAATTTTTTCCATATCTCCGTCCTCACTCGCCTTCACCAAACAAAAAAACATTCAGTTAATTCTCAAATTATTTCCAGAAAATGAAAAACAAAAACAATAGCATTAATATAGGAAGTTATATTTATAGTGATTAACTAAAAAAGAGGTTTGGCTTGTAATTTAATTAATTAATGATAGAGTAATAATTAATTTATGATGTTATAGTGGGGTCAATAGTAATTACTTGCTGTAAAACCGTCCACTGACGTTTTTTGGATGAACTTCCATTTTCCCTCTAAAGAAAGCCCAAATATCTCGCCGTCCGTTCACCTGAGCTTTCTCAAGCGTCCTCCATATTTTCTCCGGCGAAACATACGGCGGTATAACCACATTCTCAACCTCCTGACAAGGATGTTTATACTCAACACCAAACGTCTGCAACACAATCGAATTCTTCAATATTCTCGGAATGCCATCTTTCACTGCATTATCCTCCTTCACAAACCAAAAAAAAAAATCAATTAAAATTCAAACGCACGTTTAAAAAAAGCTTTAGAAAACGACGTTGATGTTACTATGTTAGATTACACTTTACATACCAGGGTATGAAAACATGCACCGAAATCATGAGAAGCGACGAAAACGTGGTCGGATCCTCTGCTTCGGTTCCAGAATGGATATTCGGTGGAGACGAGTTCAACTGCGGAGGTGATAAGAGCGCGTGCATGTCCAATCGCCGGAAAACCGTTCACGGTGCTGAAGTTGCAGGAAACGTAAACGGGAACGAAGAAGAAATCAGCTTCGTAAGGGTCAAAAGTTCTAACATTGCTCTTCAATAATGCGGTGTGAATAGCAACTTCTGAAGCAAATAAATGTGTTTTGCACCTCTCATTCAAAAGCCAATCTTTATTATATTTCGACGGTAGCTCGTAAATAAACACCTTCAGATTTTTCAACAACCCTGCAATGAAAAGAAAGATGAGAATTAGGAAAAATAAAATAAAATAGTAAATATGTTTTTTTTTAATTGTTGTTGATGTTGTTGTTAAATTACCTAGATTGTTTTGGGTTGAAAAGGAATGAGAAACAACGTTGGATTTGGAGTTTGTGTCTTGTGGGTCGTTGGTGATGAGATAAGAAGTGAAGAAATAAAGGGAAAGACAAAACCAAAGGAACCATTTGTAATATGTAAAGAAGCAACAGGTTTTGTCTTGTTGAATTCTTGTGGTGTTGTGTTTGTTCATGAGTTTCATTTTCACATTGAATTCTTTGCTCTTTAGGGAACTCTTAAGTTCCAACATTTGATTATAAAAAAATTAACAAGACAAGAATTTGAATGAGTAGTTGAGGTTGAGCTTTCGAATGTTGTTGGTGATTTGGTGTAGGAAGAAGTGGAGACTAAGAAAGAAAGAACAAGAGGGTGGTATGAGTTTGTTGGTATATCGTTTTTGCATCAAAAATAAACAATGGGTTTGGTTTAATCAATGCTCTTTCGAATAAGAAATTATGATTTTTTTACAACTCAATTATTGAATAGAATGGAAAAACAGAGTAGAAAGAGGGAAAACGGAAATGGTTATTGTGTGTTTTTTTTCTTCTTCAGTTTCAGAAGTCACGTGGGTTAGTGTTGAGAATGGATGAGAGTGTAACTCGGCGGGTGTATAGGTTAATGAAGGCTGGTTTTGCTCCTATCACAATTATTATTAGAGAAAGTACATTTTCTTGTCTTAGTATAAGTAGTAAAATTTGATTAAAAATAAGTGAGACAAAATTGAATTAAATACATCAAATTTTTAAGTAACTCTTGTTTTAGTTAAAATCATAGAATATGCTCTTTATTTATTTTTAGTTAAAAAATATTAGAATATGCTCTTTTTATTTATTTTTAGTTAAAAAATATTTTTCTTTTTTAAATCATAAAGTATAATATTTAGAGATTAATTAGAATATATTGTCATTGTAAAACTATTTTATATTGTCCATCTATCAATCATTTTGATTTATAATTATGGAATTAAAAATTAAAAAAATTAATTTATAATTAAATCATTTTAATATCTATTTTTTCTATGTTTTCATCTTCTCCTGAAATTAACTTATAATTAAATCATTTTAATATCTATTTCTTCTATATTTTCATTTTCTCCTGTGTCAAAATGATTTATTCTAATTGGATGACAGTGTAAAATATTTTTACACGCATTGTATTCTAATTAATCTCTCATATTTATTATTTTTGATTTAAAATAATCTTTGGGTTTAAAGGTAGTGTAATGTCAACGTAAGACAGTTTTACGCATATAACCAATTAAAATATCTACAATTGTCATGTAATATCAATATTTTAAAATAAAAATATGTTTTATTCGTATACGTGGTTGTGATTGGTAGATAGTGTAAAATATTTTATACTGTCAGTGTATTTTCTTTTTTCTTATAATTTTTTAAATTTTATTTATAAGAAAAAAATTATTTTTTAAATTTATTAAATATGTAATATATGTTATATATATTATTTAAGTATATTAATTAATCAAAGTATCTAAAAAGTAATTTTTTTCTTAAAAATAAAATTAAGAGAAATATATTCTTCTTTTATATTTTTAGAAAACAAAAAATAGAATTTAATTATTATACAATAACCTATCAAGGTATCATAATATTCACGATTCTTATTTTATAGGTGATTGGAATAAAGTTTGTTTGAATAAATAGTTTTTGTAATATATGATACATATATTTATTAAAATAGGCTTATGAATAAACTTGTATAAGTTATAACTTTTATAGAAAATTGATAAAATTAACTTAGATAATTTTTTTTATATGTTATTAGTTGTTTATGTAAGCTATATATTTTAGAAAATTTAGAAAATTAAGTTAAAAAAATTTATAAAACAAATTATAAGTTGTTTTGATATGACTCTATTTCTCAAAATTGTTTCTTGTTTCTTGCATATTGACTCCATTTCTCAACATTGTAGCATTGAATGTGCTTTTTATCTTGTGCATTTTATTTTGATCTTAATAATTTGATATCCTTTATCTTTTATTGGAGCATTCATGTTCATCTTTATTTTACATTTTTTGGATGCCCTTTCAACCTTTCTTGAGATTTCCCCTTTTCTTTTTGCCTTTTGATTTTATTATATTCACCATTCTTCTTGAACATTTGGATCTACAGTACTTGAATTCATTTTTCAAATTCATTTATCGTCTTCAATCTTCAATTCATGAGCCTAAAGGATCCTTGAAGATCCATAGTCTACAATGCAACATGTCCTGTAATTCCTTGATTTCTACAACAACATGATATTTGTAACTCTCACTAAACTCTTGACACATGCAATTTTTCCAATCTCTTCGGACAGGTATAGCACATATTGTGGCCTGAGGCAAATGTTAAAATGGGATCTTTATAACTTAATAATATTTTTTATTTAAAATTTTATTTTATAAGTTATTTGAGATGCAAAATTATTTATTAAATTATTATAATTGATTTTATTTAATATTTTTTAATAAAGTCAATTTATTCAATCTTTGTTGAAACATTATTGATCTTAAATAAGATTTTATTAATTTTAATTTTAAAAGACTTCTCTCGACATATGCAACTGTTATATGAATTGTTAACATTATTCTATAAATAATATATGCATTTGGAAAAGAATTGAGTCTTTATATATAATTAAATATATTAATTGGTGTATCATTTTTTTTAATTTATAATTTCATAAATAAATCTAACCCATCAATATCAATTTTGTGATTATGTTTTAATGATAGTTAAAACAACTCTTTTTTTAAATTTTCAACTTTAATGAATTTTAAAATCTCAATATTAAATAAGAAAACCAAAAATATCACTATACATTTTAAATTGTTCAAATCTACTTTAAAATGATGTGATTGTTTGATCTATTATATATAAGAAATAGTCAATTTTAAATGATTTTTTAAATTCATTGTTAATAATCTCATAAAATTGTTTTTTTCTATGAATAATAAGTTTTTTCACGAAATTTTGGTTCTATATTCATCTCAAAGTAATATCTTTTGCATAAATCATAGCATTTTCAAATCTATTTTTCCTATATTTTTCAAAAAATAAAATAAGTCTTTTCAATTGTTCTATAGCAACATCAATCTGCATATCTTTTGATTACATATTTTTACTAATAGAGTTTACTACAAATAATATATCATACACCAAATAATCATGCCTAATAAAAATTCAAAATTTTTAAACTCATAAGTTGTTAAACATTCAGCTTCGCTTTTTATTTTAGGTTCATAAGTAATTTCACATAATTTTAATAAAGCATATCTTATTTGTAAAGTTTAAAATCTCAAAACTTTTACCCTTTCAATACGACTTTTTCAATGTGTTTGTGACAATGATTTAAGTGTTAGGCTAGAGATAGGATCTTGTAAAAAATTTCATCTTTTAGTAGACGATGAAAAAAGACGTAGCTTTAGGACAACAATTAGCCATGTCATAAAGTAATAAATTTAAACTATGACTGTCACATGGAGTATAAAATGATCTAAGATTAATGTCTAAAAATCTTTTTTTGCACTCCTTAATATTTTCCTTTCATATTAGACTCATTATCATAACTTTGTCCTTACTAATATCAAGTCCAATTTTATCTCATTTATAATTGCATTAACACCTTTTTTTTTTAAGTTGTATCATTTACTATTTAAAAATTCTAAAAAATATTCAGAAATTTGTATTGGAGTAGAAGAAATATCAACACATCGTAAGAAGAAAGTCATTTGTTCTTGATGGCTTATGTCATTAGTGCATTCAAGTATAATTGAAAAATACTTTGCATTTTTTATTTTTTGAATAATTTTTGTGTTAATTTCATTTGCTATCAAACTTATTAATTCATTTTGCATCTTATACCCAAGGTAATGATTATGATTTTTTTTTATCTTTAATTCGACAAATGTGTTCTTGCATTATAGGATCAAATTCAACAATTATTTCAATAAAACTTTAAAAAAAAATTATTATGTTCCTGATAAATCTTTTCATTTGTTCCACGAAAGGCTTAGTTGTTTTTTTCCAAGAGTTTTAACAACTGCAGTTATTCTAAATAAAATATATCTCAAATATTCTCTATCTCTATTTATTTGTTCTTTAACATGTATGTCAGTTGTTTTATTTTTTTAACAATCTTGTTTATAGATCAACTCATAAACTCATATTAACGATACATTCATTACTCATCTCATGACTCCTCAATTTAGAACTCATATTTTTTAAACTCTTAATATCACAACTTGCTAATTTGCTTCTACTATAAAGAGTATTAAACAATTTACAACAAAAATAAAATAATTTATCCAAATCTTGAGAATATATTAGTCATCTTCTTTCACGTTTTTCTTTGTTTGATAGTTTTTTTAATATAAAATGAGAAAGAAAAATGTCTTGAAGATTCATCCTTAAAAAAATCTATATGGGTAACTTTAAAGGAATTTTTTTCTACTAATAAATCTCTCAAATTGGTACTAATATTTGTCCACTGATTTAGATCACATATATTTTTAACGGTGTCTACACTATCAAATTTTTCTATTAATAAATTACTATTTGTATTTCCATCATTGTCTAAGTTGTTAACTTCATCTACATTGTTAAGTTCTTCAAATTTACTTTTTTTTTTTTTGCTTGTTTTGATAAATTTATCTAAAGTTCTCTTTTGTGATTCAACTAAAAACTCAAATTTTTTTCTTCAATTTTAAACTTTTCGATTCAAATTTTCGAGTTGACATTCTTTTATTCTTAAATTTAGAAAAAGTTATTTTACAGTACGCACTAATATAAAAACATATAAAATTCATCAATAATAAAATTAAAACAAATAAAAATATTTAAAATAAAAATTAAAAGATAAAATATCAAAAATAAAACCTGGTTTTTATAATGCTTATTTAATCTTGCCTTTGTTGTTCTTTTTTTTTGTCCTTTTTCTTTACAATTTTTTTTATAATATTTAATTTTTTTTCTTTGCAAAACTAGAATGAGAGATGATAAAGACAAGCAATGTTTATAAAAAAGTAGTAGGAATAGGAGGAATGAAAATAGAGAAAGAGAAAGAGACAATAGGATGACACGTACAAATAATAAAATGTACTGCTATCTATTAACATTTAACATGAACTAGTAGAAAATCTGTGCTTCCGCACGGGTAAATAAATTTGTAAGTGTATATCTAACTTTGATAAATATATGTGTATAAGAGTTAAATGAGAGAGAATACAATTAAAAAAAAAGTACTAT